CACATAAAATGGCATTAACATTATTAACATTCTGTCTTTCTGTAGTAGACACTATTTTTTCAGCTCGACATATTCCGCATCTGCTAAAGCCTCCTCCTTTTCTTCTTCTGTCTCATAAAGGCTGTGGATCCTCTTCATTATTGTGCCTCTACAAACTATTGTTTGTAACAGGGATGAGAATGGGACATTTGTAAAAAGTCTGAAATGCATGTCAGCCAAGGGCTTTCATTAACTGTTTGATTTGCTCACAACATTTCACTTTGGGCAAAAACAACATGAAATGGCAGTGCAAAGGAAAATTTAGGTACCCCAGCTTTAATTTCTTTTTTTCGCTTCGGGAGAAGACAAGGGGGAGACGGACTGTTTTTTGCAGCGCTGTTTTTATTGTGCGTCCTGTGCGTGATCAGTGCACACAGCGGTCCTGTGCGTGTATATGGCATTGGTACTGTGATGAGAGTAAGGTGCTTCCCTCAGCTGATGGACCTGACAATGACAGCAGTGAGCTGCTGTTGGTTGAAGGACAACTTTGGTTTGAAACACATTTGGTGGAGTATAAATTTGAAACATACATTTGGTTAAGTCTGTATTTACTGTAGCTACAGCCCCTCGCCCTGATGTCACACATGACAGTCTGTAAATCCAGTTACTCATGTTTTCCCATTTGGAATGATTGACAGGCCGCACCCTGCCAGGGCCAGGGACATGTGAAGTGGGCATTGTTGTGTTTTAATGTCTCTTTTCAGATTAAAGAAGAAGCTACAAACTTCACCAGCTGCTTTGATAATATGATGGATCATAAGAGGAATAGGGACGAGCCCCTTTTTTGGCATGTACCACAATATGGACTGAGGACGACCAGTCAAAAGACCAGCTGGATATAATTGGAACAGTAATCTACACACACACACACTTACATTTACACTTGGACTTGGCCCACGACCAAGAGGAGGGATATGTTAATAGGTGGTCGTGGTCCTGAAAGTTCTAAAATTAGAAAGAAAAAAACTGAAAGACTGTGACATATTGACTTGAAATGACCATTTCATCTTTAGATTAAAAGAGCCACAACACAGGGCAGGGCTAGAGCCATAACCTTCAGTTTTATGGAGCTATATCATCATTTTAAAACATATACAGTATATATTATATATTGTATTGACATGGACAAATAAATAATGGAAAGAGCAGCATAAATGCACAATGGTGCTATATTAATATTTCACAATACAAAAAATAACCATCAGAATCAGAATAATTTTTATTGCCACGAAAGTAACAGGAAGTCACAGACTTGGAAATTCCTTTGGCTCAGTGCAACAGTCAGAGAGAGATAATAAAAAAATAAGAATAAAAAACACTTCTAAGGAATACATTTAAATTTAAAATAGAGTTACAGTTACTATTTACAAGTGCACATGGTGCACACAATGTAAGGTGACAGCAGTACAGTGAAGTAAAGTGACGTATGATGTGCAGTAAAGTGACTTTATAAAGGGAGGGGGGACAGGTTAAGAAGTGTTCAAGAGTCCAACAGCAGAGGGGAAGAAACTGTTCTTGTGGCGGGAGGTTCTAGTCCTGATGGACCGCAGCCTCCTGCCTGAGGGGAGTGGTTGGAATAGACCATGTGCTGGGTGAGAGGGGTCGGTTGTGATACGACCAGCCCGGCCTCAAGCTCGGGCGACGTACAGGTCCTGCAGCGATGGAAGGCTGCGGCCGATCACTTCCTCTGCAGAGCGCACAATGCGCTGTAGTCTCTGCTTGTCCCTGACTGTGGCTCCAGCGAACCACACGGTGATGGAGGAGGTGAGGATGGACTCGATGATGGCCGTGTAGAACTGCACCAACATCTGTGCAGGCAGCTTGGCTTTCCTGAGCTGCCGCAGGAAGTACATCCTCTGCTGGGCCTTCTTGATGAGGGAGCTGATGGTCTGCTCCCACTAGGGCTGGAAAGTCTCGTCCCAGGAGCACTTCCGGTTCATTGCTTGGATACAAACAAACCGTCAGCTGTTCGAAGAGGCGGTTTAAGTGAATGGTGCATAATGCTCTGCTTTGTTTTCGGCTGTAATCATCACAGTTTACGCGACACATGCTCATTCTTTAGGTTTCCCAAAGACCAACTGAAGCTGTGGGAAAAGCTATGCAGTTCTGATAAAATATTTTGTCTGATTTCAGAGACAGTTAACTTGAACATGTATTCAAGCTAGCTTGTAGCTAATGCTAACCTGTAATAGTGCGCGGCCAAGCCTTTAATTGTGGCTTGTATTTTAAGATAAGAAACTTTATTGATGTCACACAGGATAAATATTGTCTCTCAAATATTTATCTATTTGAGAGATAAAGGAGGAACATATTAACACGTATTAAATAACATTTAACAAATGTTCAAATATAACAGAAAACGGACAATCATTCGTATGAATACTGTAGGTAGCCCAACTACATCATGTTATTTTTGACAGCACAGCAAAAAGGAAAAAGGCCCAATGTGAAGCTGCAGTGAGTGTGAAGTGGAGAATGAGCTGATGAACAGATAGAAAGCTGATCATTCATATACATTGGCTTATAACCAAAGCAGCAAAGATAGCTGTAAGGGACAACATCAATTTATTTGCATAGGAATAGTGTTTCTATATTTTCTTTCTGATGCGTGATAGTGGATTAAAATACAATGAGTTTGAACCATAGACTGTATGTTTGAACACGGCCCTGTGCCTTTCTCATCTCCCCGTCATATGGAAACGTCAGGACATGGCCAGTTCACAGCTAATTCCGACCGCTCACTCAGTTTTTCTGTCCCAGAGACGAAATGTGTCCAAAAAACACAGGAAAGTCCATTAACGAGGAAGAAGTCGGCGATCTCCGCACCATACAACTGGCACGTGTGGTTTGTTTGTATCCACGGGTGGAAATCTCGCAAAATCTCGCACTTCCGCTTTCCAACCCTCTTGAGGTCCTGCATGGTGGTGCCCAGGAAACGAAAGGACTCCACAGAGGTGATGGAGGAGTCCATCAGGGAGGGTGGGGGCGGGGGGACAGTGCTCTTCCTGAAGTCCACAATCATCCCACTGTCTTCTGGGCGTTCAGCTCCAGGACTGGGCAGGAGTCGATTATATTGCAAGTAGGCCTGTCACGATAACAAATTTTGCTGGACGATTAATTGTCTCAGAAATTATTGCGATAAGCGATTATATTGTCGTTCTGAGATCATTTGCATCTATTACAATGATAATGCAGGTACACCTTTTCAAAGAGAAATAAACTTTTATTTTTAACGAATATTTAACGCTAGAACACAATAAATTAACAAACAACCAAAAACAAAAAATAAAATAGACTCAGTCTCTTAACAAAAAATTACCAGGAATAAAACTGCCAGGACCTTTGTATAGAAAATATGAAACAGATGCCTCAAATGTCAATAATTTCTCAGACTTTATGGCAGATTACGAGAAAGAAATACCAACATGTTGACTTTGTGTGGCTTAAGACAGGATCTCTCAGGAGTAGTCCCACCTCCCTACACACCAGGCGAATGACAAGTGACTGACATGTGGGTTCACCAATGGGGCGTACAGAAGAATCCCGGTAGCGCCCACCGGAAGTAGGGGGCGGGCTTTGATGCTAACAGCTAAGCTAGCGGGTTTTTTGTGTAACGTTCTACTCCAAGAATGCAAGTCTGCAGCATCTCTGTGTTCAGAGACCTTCTAGAGACTTTATATAACAGCAGTATGTGTTCACGGAGGTGCGCCATAAGTTTATTTTATTGGTATGGTACGGTACTTCTGCATCGGCGAACACGCTAACGCTAGCTGCGCTAGTGTAGTCACTAATCAAGCCTGAATGAGAACTCATTCAGGCATATGTTCACAACTACTGTGTCCCCCATTGTCAATCCTGGTTAAGTCCTGGTTTAGGTCCTGTTTTGGCTGTATTTTGTATTTTTGAGTAATTTCCGTCTGCTTGCTAGACCGCTAATGTTCCCGTGACCACTTTGCGGCTCTCTGACCCGAGAGAGACGGGGGAAACAAACAAGCATGCAAATGATTTATCGCGGCCAGAAAAGTTATTGAGCAAATTTTATTTATCGTGCGATTAATTGATTTATTGACTATCGCGACAGGCCTAATTGCAAGTTGAAAACACACATATGAATTAAGTTAATTGTGAGTGATCAGGAAACTGGACCGCTTTAATTGACAATAGCATTAGATTGGGGCACCAGTGAATAAAGCTCAATGATAACAATGTTTGTCCTCTTTAAGGCTTGTGCATACTCAGGCGTCACTGGTTGCGTTGGTGGTTGCGCTGGACCCACTCTGCGTACCCCCCCTGCAGTTTTTGTTGATTGTATTTTATTTCAAGCTTATGAACAGGAATCAATTATAGATTTAACAGCATTTACATATAATACATGATTAAAAAAAATATATATGTATGTACATTTCTATTTTTTTATTTTCACTCCTGTTAAAGCTTAAAAAGGAGTGGGAAGAAGTCAAGCTTATAGGCTCCCACCCCCTATACCTATATTCACTTTATACGGTTGCACATACCCGCCCACACACATACATACAGACATAACCATACATATGTATGTGACCGCAGGGCCCCAGAATAATTGTGGGATGCAACTGTAACACAGTCAATCTTTGTCACCAGGGTACAAGGAGACCACAACAGTTAAAAGTTCAAAATGGATTTATTACAAAAAGAGTCTTTAAAAGTATGATTAAAAGCTATTGGGTTAAAACTAGAGGGGAGAGGCTGGAGATAAAACTTAAAAGGTGCGAGCTATAAAAGTCAGGGTCCAGGAAATGCAGCGGTTTGGATTGGCCGTGCTGGTATGGCTTTGTCCCCAGCAGGCCCCAGATGCTGCACAGAACTGTTGGCCTTCAGACCGCCTAGAGAACCAGAGCTCTGTTTCATACCAGACAGAGGGAGAGGAAATGGTGCACAGAGCTTTTAAAGGGGAAGTACCGCCCACCACAGCTGCCAACTAATTAAAACATGGCCATTGGCCCACCAAACAAGGAAAAACACAAACCAAAAAAACCACACCCAAACTCAAAGTGACAGTGTAGAGAGGATACTTTTACCCTGTTACACGCCTCCCTGTTAAAATTTTCGTTGTCCCAACGACCGCTCTCCATGGTGCTAGATCTGGAACCGTCTTGGAGGCAGGCCTTTCGTAGGACGCGTCGAGCGCCTTGGTCCCGGGTCACCATGACAGCCAGCAGAAGAAGCATCACCACAAGCTGGCAAATGTTGTGGAGCTGGTGCAGGATCGTGAAGAGTAGGATCTGGCCAGAACCCCAACCAGCCGTGGAATAGAGAGTCTCTTGGGCCATCTTCCGATGAAGTGGGGTGTTCAATAGTTTGACCATCTTGTGTTAATGTAGATGGAGGCAAAGGGCACACTTTGAGTAGGTTACGATGAACTACTTTTTCTCTATTAGTAGTCTCTTGTCGAATCACATACACTGGGAGCTCTGCGTTGGGTCGCTTAATGACGACATAGGGCTGGGGTTCCCACCTATCAGCTAGCTTACCCCGGTCCTTTGCCCTCATGTCCTGGAGCAACACCCGGTCCCCTGGGGAGAGTGCAGATTCTGGTGTCTTATAGTCATAGTGCCGTTTTTGTCTGGCCATTTCAGTGTCATTCACTTGACTTGCTTTGGTGAAGGCATATTGCAGCCGCCTTTGATGACACTTCACCCAGCTATCCACAGAATCGCAAGCCACATTGTCTGTGAGTCCCAGGATGCGATCTTGGGGGAGAGAGCCATGCCTCCCAAACATGAGGTAGTGGGGTGAATATCCAGTTGAACTGTGTGCAGTGTTGTTGTATACCTGGATCATCTCAGGCAGGTGTTCACGCCAGTTCCTCCTCTCCACCCCCAAAGTGCCCAGTAACCCTAAAAGAGTACGATTAAGCCTCTCACACGCTCCATTTCCTGCTGGATGATATGGAGTTGTATGATCTTTTTGTATTCCATACAGTTCACAGTTCATGCACCAGTTTGGATTCAAAATTAGGTCCTTGATCCGACATTAATCTCTTTGGGACTCCAAAGGGTTGGATTACCTGGTTCCAAAGAACTTTTGCTGTCGTGAGTGCAGTTTGATCCCTTGTAGCCGACGCCCAGGCAAACTTTGTGAAATGGTCCACCATGACTAGGACGTTATGATACGGGTCCTCTGGGTGACCTATGACAAAAGTTCCATTGGGGCACAGGTTCTAATTGTCACTGATATACTTAGTGATATTTTTCCCTTCACATGACTAAAGTGAGCTGTCCAGTTTATTTTTTCATCTATTAAAACTCCTAAAAACTTCATTTCATTTACTCTTTCAAAAGTTTTGCCATCCAATTTTATTTCAACGTCATCATTTGTTCCACTGCCAAACAACATGAAATTTGTTTTTGCCAAATTTAGTGATAAATTATGGTTTGATGGAAACAGGTTAAGTGCATCCAATTCTGTATTTATTTTCTGGACTAGTGCCTTGAGATTACTCCCTGAACAGAAAACACTTGTGTCATCCGCAAATAGAACCATCCTGAGAGTTTTTGACAATTGAGTTAAATCATTTATGTATAGAATAAATGAAGAGAATGTTGTAATCCCACACCAAAACAATCTCACAGGAGTTGCCTGGAACACCAAAGCGGTCCCATTTATGCCAGCTACATTCTCTTCTTCAGAACAAAAACAATTGCGAACCAAACTGTTTGAGCATGTCTGACTGTATTTGTGCACAGACAAGCAAAACAATAAGTGATAAATGTCTGAGACCAAACATGAACTATTTACAAGGGCAGGATGAATGCAACAGAGACAGGAACAGAGTAAAAGAAACGACTGTACATTATGTAAATGTTTGATATGTTGGTCCACGGGCTCCTGAGCCCAAACTGCTTTCCTTCCATCGGTTCCTTCGAAGCACGAAGCAATCTGCATTGTTCTTATTGTCTTTTATAGTATGTCATATTTAAGGACCATAATGAATGCAATGTCTGATAGTTGTTGCTAATGAGGCGATTTGGCAGGTAGGCAGCGGTCAGAGCGAGCAGGGAACAGAGCGTCCTGTCCAATTATGGTGTGAAATTGCATTAGCACTGAACAGAAGCGGTAATGTGCAGGACAGCAGTCACAAAGCAGATCTTCAAAGAACACTTTGCTTAAAATATTCATTACTGAGATTGGGCTATTGCTTTATGCTTGTTTTCTTCCTTTGGCCAAAAAACCAGATCTGTAATTAACTGATGATCTATTTCAAACTGTTTTTAGTGCATCACACAGGATATATCGAACTGGTTGTTTAGACTGGTGCCCCGCTGATTCAACTAAATCCTTCTCTCTCTTAAACTGGGTATAATTAATTCACCCATAGAATCACGCACACATCCGTGAACGCAGACTTACCCCTACACATCTAAATGTTTTCACTAGCCAAATGGCCCTGTTTATGGTATCTGCCATGAGATTGGGCGTTTGTCAATTTGACTTTTGACATTTATAAATGTTACCCTCCGTGCTTTGGACTCAGCAATAGCTGTTGAATTGGGGCAGGGAGTATTATTATAAAGGATTCAGATTCCATATTTACCTTGCTTTACGTTGCCCATTCGTGGTGAATACTACTGAACTATCACAGAAGGGCGACATTGCAGTCTAGAGCTCTAGTTCAAATGTGTACCTGACACATTCTGTAGCCCAAAGAGCTCCATTGCCGCTGCCAGAAAGAGAGCTGCAGTATCGTTCTGCTCAAACTCCTTATATGCATTGAATGCAGATGCGAACTAGGGATGTCACACTTACCGGTGTAGCGGTAAACCCAGTTTAAAAAATTGGACTGTTACATTTACCGTCAAAATTTTCAAAAAATTTATTATCTCAGTGGATTACCGCGCCGCGGGCCTTCTCGTGTCTCTGACTCTGCTGAAGTTGCTGAGCGGGTGCACTTTCATGCTGGAGTCATGCCCGAAGGTGGAGACCCGTAGGACATTTATCAGCCTTCAAAGAGGACAAAGTCTGAAGTGTGGGCAAATTTTGGATTTTTAAAGAATGCTGCGGGACATCTGATGGAAGACAGTCAGCTAATCGGTCTGCAGAACGTGCAGGAAAAAAAATATTCCGCGGTGGCTCCTCTGTGATCATCACCCACAACAACTTCATAACCAATGTTAGGTAAGATAACAATAACATTTCAGCTGAAATAGATGATGTGGGGGGACTTCGGGTTGATAAAGAATGAGAGTTGACTTTATACGTGCATGCATTAAATAAACGATTGAACGATTCAGACAGATGAGAGACAGATTGAGAAAAAACATCAAAGCAAGATTTCTGGCTCACTCAGACCTGTAACTCCTTAAGAGGCTCCTCTATCCTCCACGTTACCTGTATTAATGCCACCTGTTTGGCACAACCTCAAACAGTCACACTCCAAGCTCCTGCACCAGGCTGGGAAGACCAAATCGGCAATAGGTAAGCAGCTTGGTGTGGAGAAATCAACTCTGGGAGCAATTATTAGAAAATGGAAGACATACTAGACCACTGTCTTGTAGGTCTTCCATTTTCTAGTGAATGACCGGTAACACACTACGCCACCAGGCACTCAAAAACTGCATTGCCGGATGTGTCCCCCTGCTAAAGCCAGTACATGTCCAGGCCCGCTTGAAGTTTGCTAGAGAGCATTTAGGTGATCCAGAAAAGGATTGGGAGATTGTTATATGGTCAGATGAAACCAAAACAGAACTTTTTGGTAAAAACTCGTAGTTGCATCCAAAGAACACCATACCTACTGTGGAGCATGGGAGTGGAAACGACATGCTTTGGGGCTGTTTTTCTGCAAAGGGACCAGGACAACTGATCTGTGTAAGGGAAAGAATTAATGGGGCCACATATTTAAGAATTTGAATGAAGACCTCCTTTCATCATCAAGGGCATTGAAGACGAAACGTGGCTGGGTCTTTCAGCATGACAATGATCCCAAACACACCGCCCGGGCAACGAAGGAGTGGCTTTGTAAGAAGCATTTCAAGGTCCTGGAGTAGCCTAGCTAGTCTCCAGGACCCCATAGCAACATCACTGCTCTAGAGGAGATCTGCAGGATCTGGAGGAATGGGAGGAATGGGTCAAAATACCAGCAACAGTGTGTGAAAACCTTGTGAGGACTTACAGACAAAATTTGAGCTTAGTACAAAGTTTTGAGATAAACTTTTGCTATTGACCAAATACTTATTTTCCACCATAATTTTCAAATAAATTCTTTGAAAATCAGATGTGGTTTTCTGGATTTTGTTTTACCTCATTCTGTCTGTCATAGCTGAGGTTTACCTAGGGTGAAAATTACAGGAAACATTGGTGGCTGACTAATTACTTTTTTTTCCCCACACTACAATTACATTTAAAACATTTCTTAGATTTGCTAGAGATTACCAAATAGCAAATAAATCCTTTCTTTTCAATTGGTTTCCCCCTTTTTTGTTTGAAATCCTACGCTGTGGAGCACTTACTTTTAGGCATTATTATACTATTTTTGAGACATTACGTTTTACTAATTAAAAAGTATTGTCAGTACCATCCTGTAGATGGACAAGGCTAACCCCATAGCCCAATGAAGCCCAACAGGGAAATGCTGATGGACAAAGTTTTGTTCCAACTCGCTCTGGCTTCTATTTACTTGCATTGGAGCGTAAACTCTTCAGAGATATAGTGAGCTTGCCACAGTTACACATTCACCATTTTGGGCTTCAAGAATCTGTGGTTTAGCTCTATGGTCCTGGTGTCTTTTGTAAATTTGGATATGAGCCATATAAGGATTGAATAATCAAATGTCTTGCTTGCTAATCAATTTCCACGGACGTTATTTCATACTTCCATTTTAGTCATATCTGTGCTCACAAGGCAAACTAGAAAAACAGCATTAGTCATTTCCCTGCCCTTTGCAAACCCCAGTAGCTGGAATGGGGTGAGAGCATAGACTGGCGCGAGAGGGAGGGAGCTGTCTGGGGAGCGGGAGGGGCAGACTGGATCAGCACACAAAGGGCCTGGGATAATGAGAGCAGAGCAGAGGCTTTTACAGACGCTGAGCCACTTCCTAGATGCATCACCAAATATCACACTGCGGACAATACAGCAGCACAGTGGTGAAAAGTGAGCTCCAACTGCAAACAGCACATGCCACTGTAAACTTAAAAGAGATCGGGATTGGTTGGTACATTTTAAATTGCCAAAAAAGAAAGTTGCCGCTCATCCATATTCAGTGTGACTCTTTCCCCCTTTAAAACTGACCCAGAATTGTTTATCATTGCAGATGTAACTGGTTTACATGCACTGT